TGTAACTATCAATTATTTGCTATGATTATTTTATCAAATTTTATCAAATCTGGTTAGACGCGAGCTGTTGTTTTGCTGGGTCATTTCAGTCATGTCCAACTTTCCATGATCCCATTTGGGGTTTTCTTTTCTTTTTTAAAATTTATTTAGTATTTATTTTCCCCCCAGTTACATGTAAAAACAATTTTTAACTTTTGTTTTTAAAACTTCTGAGTTTCAAATTCTCTCCCTTCCTCCCTCCTCACCTCACCTCATTGAGAAGGCAAGCAATTCAATATAGGTTATACATATGTAGTTATGCAAAACATTTCTATAGTAGTCATGTTGTGAAAGAAAACAGACCAAAAAAAAAACCTCAAGAAAGATAAGGCAAAAAAGTATGTTTCAATCTGTATTCAGACACCATCAGTTCTTTCTCCAAGGATGGATAGTGTCTTTCATCATAAGTCCTTTGGACTTGTGTTGGATTGTCAAGAATAGCTTGTATTGCTGAGAATAGCTAAGTCATTCATAGCTGATCACCTTACAATATTGCTGTTACTTTGTACACAGTACATTTCACTTTACATCAGCCCATGCAAGTATTTCCAGGTTTTTCTGAGAGCATCATGCTCATCATTTATTATAGCACAATAAATTTCCATCATAATCACATACCACAACTCGTTCAGCCATTCCCCAATTGATGGGCATCCCCTCAATTTCTAATTCTTTGCTCCCAGAAGAGAGCTGTTATAAATATTTTTGTACATAGGTAATTTTCCTTTTTGTTTTTTATCTCTTTTGGGATACAGACCTGGTAGTGGTATTGCTAGGTCAAAGGGTATGCACGGTTTTTATAGCCCTTTGGGCATAGTTCCAAAATGCTCTCCAGAAAGGTTGAATCAGTGCACAATTCCACCAACAGTGCATTAAAGTCTCGTTTTTCCCACATCCCCTCCAACATTTGTCATTTACCTTTTCTGTCCTATTAGCCAATCTAATAGGTATGAGGTAGTACCTCAGAATTGTTTTAATTTTCATTTCTCTGATTAATAGCAAGTTAGAGCATTTTTTCATATGGCTATAGATACCTTTGATTACTTCATCTGAAAACTGATTATATCTTTTGATCATTTATCAATTGAGGAATGGCTCTTATTTTTATAAATTTGAGTAATTTCTCTATATGTTTGAAAAATGAGGCCTTTATCAGAGAAACTTGCTTCAAATTTTTTTTCACAGTTACTGTTGCTAACTGTATTTCCTTCCATCCTATTCCCCCATGTTTATTCTATTCCCTGTCTCCTTTCACCCTGTCCCTCTTCAAAAGTATTTTGCTTCTGACTACCTTCTCCCCCAATCTGCCTTCCCTTCTATCACCCCACCCTCTTCTCCTATCCCCTTCCCCTCCTACTTTACTGTAGGGTAAGACAGATTTCTTTTTTATTATTATTATTTTACTGTACTTATTTAGGTTTTTTATTTATTTTTAGTTTTTAACATTCATTTTTATTAGGTTTTTTATTTATTTTTAGTTTTTAACATTCACTTTTATAACATTTCAAGTTCCAAATTTTTCTCCCTCCCCAAGACAGCAAGCAATCTGATATAGGGTATACATGCACAATCATATTAAACATATCTCGACATTACTCGTGTTGTGAAGGAAGAATTAAAACAAAAAGGAAAAGGGAAAAATCCTGAGAAAGAAAAAAAAAAGAGAAAATAGTATGGTTTGACTCCATAGTTGTTTCTCTGGATGTGGATAGCATTTTCCATCATGAATCTTTTGGAATTGCCTAAGATCATTGCATTGCTGAGAAGAGCAAAGTCTATCAAAGTTGACTATCGCACAGTGTGGCTGTTACTATGTACAATGTTCTCCTGGTTCTACTCACTTCACTCAGCAGTAAGATAGACTTCTATACCCAATTGTGGGTGTATGTTATTCCCTCCTTGAGCCAATTCTGATGACAGCAAGGTTAATACACTCCCCTCCACACCTTCCCCCTGTTCTCCTCTACTATAAAAGCTTTTTTATGTGAGATCATTTACCCCATTTGGGGTTTTCTTGGCAGAGATACTGGAGCAGTTTGCCATTTCCTTCTCCAACTCATTTTACAGATGAGGAAACAACAGGTAAAGTGACTTATCTAGGGTCACACAGCTAGTAAGTGTCTAAGGCCAGATTTTAAGTCCGGTCTTCCTGACTCCAGGCCCAGCACTCTATCCACTATGGTGCCACTTCTAGATTAGATTAGAACAGGACTTTTTAACCTCCTTTGTGTCCTAAGCCATCTGGAAGTCTGGTGAAGGCTAGGGATCCCTACTTAGGAATCAAATCATGTTTTTATTGTTTTTGTTTTGTGTTTTGGCTAAGCAGTGGGGTTAAGTGACTTGCCTAGGGTCACACAGCTAGTAAGTGTTATGTGTCTGAGGCAGGATTTGAACTCAGGTTCTTCTGAATCAAGGACCGGCGCTCTATCCACTGCGCCACCTAGCTGCCCCCAATCATGTTTTTAAATAAGTGATATATGTGTTAAATAATATATATTAAATTATATGTGTGTATGTATGTATGTATATATGTATGTATGTTCCCATCTGAGTTCATAAAGCCCCCTGAAAGCTATGGAATATGGGCCCTTTCAGCTCTGTCGTTCCACATTTTAAAGTTTCTTCTAGCTCTAACATTCCCTCTTCCCAGGGCCCTCCCAGCTCTAACATTCCCTCTTCCCAGGGCCCTCCCAGCTCTGACACTCCCTGTTTTAAGGGCCCTCCCAGCTTTGCTATTTTATATTCACAGGACCATAGGAAGGGATCTTAGATGTCCCCTCACCCAGTCCTCTTATTTTACAGATGAGAAAACTCTGGCCCTGAGGTTAAGTGACCTCTCCAGGACCACAAAAGTAGCATGAAGCAATGCCAGGGTTTCAGCCCATATCCTCTGACTCCACAGCTCACAACAGAAATGCTTGGAAATGTCCCCCAAGGGGCTGCTTCTGACGTTCTGGAGGAATAAAGTTGTACCAATCCCGTATCCTCACTCTAAAATCAAGAGAATAAAGCTACTCAAGTGGAAAGATGGCTCACAGACTCTCCTTTTGGATTCTAAGGGCCTTTCCTGCTGTGATGTTCCATGTACCCTACTGGGTCTCAGTTTCCTCATCTACGGCATAAAAGGCTTATACTAGATAGTTTTCTCTTCTATTCAGTGGTACAATGGACAGTGCTTTGGACCTAAAGTAGGAAAGACCTGAGTTCAAATCCAGCCTCTGACACTAACTAGCTATGTGACCCTCAGGAAGTCACTTCACATCTGTCTGCCTCAATTTCCCCATCTGTAAAATGGAAATAATAGAGCCTCCTTCCCAAGGTTGTTGTGGAGGGAAAATGGGAAAACGAGCAAAGTGCTATGCCAATGAATGTTAGAGCTATTATTATTATTATTACCTTTATTATTATTCTAATTAAAACAAAGGAGCTGTACTATGACCTCTAAGGTAATTTCCAACTCTAAATCTACAGTTCTATAATTTGGAGATTATAGCATCATAGATTTAGAGATGGAAGGCCTATCTAATGTAGCATGAAGTCAGTCGAGTTGAGAAAGCAACCTACCCAATGACTAGAGCAGAAAGTCACTTTGGAGGCAATGCAGTCTAACTCCTTTATTTTGCTGCTGCTGATAATAACAGCAATAACCATAGCTAACAGTTATATAAAGCTTTAAGGTTTGCAAAGCACTTTAGAAATATTATCTCATTTGATCTCCTTACAACAACCCTAGAAGGTAGGTATCATTCTTATTATCCCCATTTTAGAGATGAGGAAACTGAGGCAGACGGAGGTTAAGTGACTTACCCAGGGTGACACAAGCAGGAAGCATCAGAGGTTGGATTTGAACCCAGGTCTTTCCGACTCCAAGGCCAGTGATCTTAGACGAACTCTAATTCCCCACCCATGTCATGGTTTCAAGACTCTGTTTCCCAGATGTCCAGGGCTGGAACATCTTTTATAAGGAAGATCAAAGTTCAGCCACAGCCTGCCATGCTTCAGGCTTGAGAAGAGACAAAGTACAAGGGGCATTTTATTATCTTTCATTGATGATGGGAGAAAGTCCAGGCTGGGCGCATCAGGCCCAGGTTGCGGGGGGGAGGAGGGGGACGGGGACTAGAGTGAGGCCCTGGATGTTTGCTGGCTGCTGGTTTGGGAAAGGAAACGAGATCATGTCCACACACCAGGGATTCCAGTTTGAGGAAGGAATTAATCAGGGGGCATGAGAGTCACCCTTTCTTTCTCTTCATGGGAACTGGGCTCTGGCCTCGCTTTTGCTCTTCAGGGTTTCTTTCTGGTGTCTGGAGGGGAATTTTCCAAACCACACCCTGCAAGGTTCACAGAGGGTCTCATCTTCCATGCCTTGTCTAGCTCCCCAAAGACTAGTCTTGAAGTGGGTGGGGTAGGCAGGAAGAAAAGGCCTGGACCCAAACAGCATTGAGTTCATCTCAAAGACTCCACTGACCCTCAAGCAGAGGAGAAGTCTGCAAGCAGAGCTATTAACAAAAGTAGGGACGAACTAGCACAGGGCCAATATAGGTTGGTCTCAGGGAACTAACATCAGGGGCTAGTGCCTGATCATTGCAGTGCCTAGCTGTGTGACCCTGGGCAAGTCATTAGCCTAAGGCCTAGCTTCCTCATCTGTAAAATGGGGATAATAATAGCACTCCAAGGGTTGTTGTGAGGATCAAATAAGAGAGACAGCATATGTAAAGTGTTTTGCACTTTACAATTAGAATACAACCTGCAATTATTAGTAGTAGTAGTGATAATATACTCCTGCTAGTGTCTGAGATCTTCCCTCTGTCTTTGGGCTCCCTCTTCTAAGATTAGTAGACTTTAGCAGCCTGAGTTCAAATCCAACCTTCAACACTTGCTGTTTGTGTGACTGTGAGCAAATCGCTTAAGCTCTCTGAGCCCCACTTTTCTCATCTGTAAAGTGGGAATAAAAATACCTCTAGGAGAGTACTGGAGCTGGTGTCAGGAATGGCTGGGTTCCAGTCTTCCCTCTGACATTTATTAGCTGGGTGACCACAGGCAAGCCATAACTACTGTAAAATTCTGCTTCATCATCTATATGATCAATTGCAGACCTAAAAATGAAGCATAAATATTAGCTATAATTATCATACCTTTAGGACCTACTTCATAGGATTGTTGTAAGGCTCAAAGAGGATAAATATAAGGCATTTTGCAAATACCAAAGTCTCATATAAATTCCAGTTAATATTATAATGAGAAGTGTTTTACAAACATTTCTTTTAAATGTACTGATTGGTTTAACTATTTGTTTTTTAAAGTCTTTATTCTTTGTCCCTACCACTGTCCTCCCCCAGTCGAATATAAAAAATGAAAGAAAAAAGAAAGCCCTCATGACAAATGTGCAGAGCCCAGCAAAATAATTCCCATGCTGGCCACGGCCAAAAATGTCTATCTTTCTGTATTTTTAAATCCATCCCCTGCCTGGGTAGGAAGTGGGTGGCATGCTTTATCTTCAGTCTGCTGAACTCAGAGCTTATCCTTTCATTGGTTATTTTTTCTCTGTAATGTTGTTGTCCTTATATAAATTGTTCTCCTGGTTCTACTCACCTTGCTCTGTATCAGCTCATAGAGATCTCCCACTTTCTTCTGAAACTGGACATTTCATCATTTCCTACAGAAGGGGAAGAGAATAAGGATTTATATATCACCTACCATGTGCCAGGCATTTCACAAATATCGTCTCATTTGATCTTCTCAACAACTATGGGAGGTATGTGCTGTTACTATCCTCATTTTACAGGTGAGGAAACTGGGACAGAGAGAGGGTAAGACACTTGTCTCGAGTCACACAGCTAATAAGAGTCTGAGGTCAGATTTTTCCCAACTCCAGGCCCGGCACTCTACCCACTGCACCACTTACCTTCCTCTAGACAATGGAGTCAGGAAGACCTAGCCTTGAATCCCACCTTGCACACTTAGTAGATGTATGACTTTGGGCAAGTGACTTAACCTCCATGGGCCTCAGTTTTCTCATCAAAAAAATGACAGGGTTGGACTGGGTGGCCTTGGAGATGCCTTCCAGCTCTAGAAATATGACCCTACGGTGTTATTATGGGTTCAGATCTGGCCTCAGATGCTTAGATACTCAGATACTTGCTGTATAAATCTCCACAAGTCATTCCTCTATTGGAAGATGGTGGTCTTAAGACCTTCATGACCTGCCTCTCACAGAGACATTGGGAGAAAGTGGTCCAGTGGATAGATAGATAGATACATACATACATACATACATACATACATACATACATACATACATACATAGATGCATAGATACATAGATACATAGATACATAGATACATAGATAGATACACAGATACATAGATAGATAGATAGATACATAGATAGATACATAGATAGATAGACAGACAGATAGATAGATAGATAGATAGACAGACAGACAGACAGACAGACAGACAGACAGACAGACAGAGATAGACAGACGGATGGATGGATGGATGAGTGGATGGGTATATCAATAGGTGGATAGATAATACAATGAATAGATGATAGATAGAGAGATAGATCAGCAGATAGATGATAGCTAGAAGATAATACAGTGAGTAGGTAATAGAACGATAGATAGATAATAGAATGAACAGACAGATGCAAATGGGAGCCATGGGTAAATGGAGTGGTATATGAAGAATTCAGAGAAGCATGGGAAACTCACACAAACTGACCCAAACGTGAATTCTGTAGAACCAGGAAAATAAGACACACAATGAAGGCGATAATGTCAATAGAAGGAACAAAAGTGTGAACCTGAGAGGGGTGGGTTATCACAATGCCCAAGCTTATTCCCAAGAGCAGCTGAGGAGTGTGCACCCCCCTCTGGCTGTGTAACTTGGCAAGTACCTTTAGACTCAGCTGACATGCTGGATGGTTTTGCTGAACTATTTTTCTTTTTGATTTTCTGTCACAAGGGAGGCATTATGGCAACAGGAGAGAGAGCTGGCTTTGGCTCCAGGATGAGCTGGGCTTAAGACCCACCTCTGACATACACTGACTGCGTGACCTCTCCACCCCACCATCCTAACCATCTCTGTGCTCTAGGCCACAACCTTCAAACATTTGGTGACAACTCAGATTAAGATGCAATTAATTAAGTAATGAAGATGTAATTAATTAAGTAATGAAGATGTAATTAATGAGATAAATAAAAATGCAGTAAAACATAGATAATGTTAATTTGTGGCTTTCTAGGTCAATACGTGGCCTGCTGGGATCCTTATTGCCCTTGGCTTCCCCTTTTCTATTTGAGTTTAACATGTTTGCTCTTGGCTCTTCTCTCAATGGCAGCTCTCTAAGGCTGAGTGTTGAGATGCATTGGCAAAAGGAGTTTCCTCACCTAGGAATTCCCCATAGCAATGAAAGCCCAGGTGTAGTCCCCATCCCCTACAAAGTTAAATGGGGAGAGCCTTTACCCATTCGCCTCCATTCTCCATTTCTCAGGAAGACCTGAGTTCAAATACAACCTCAAAAACTTACTAGCTGTGTGACCCTGGGCAAGTCACTTAACCCTTATTTGCCTCAGTTTCCTCAATTGTAAAATGAGGATAATAATAGCTCTTATCTCCCAGGATTGCTGTGAGGATCATATGAGATAATATTTGTAAAGTGCTTAGCACAGTGCCAGGCACGAAATAGGCACTATATAAATGCTTATTTCCTTCCTCTCTGACAAAACTACCTTATGTCTATTTTGTATTATTCATATGCGTACATATTGTGTCCCCCCAAAAGACTGTAAACTCCTAGAGGGCAGGCACTGCCCTCATCATCTGTGCCTAAAACAGGGCCTTAATAAATGTTTGTTAATTGAACAAAGCAATTGAAACTGAATGTTGTGAAATTATGACTAAGCTTAGCCCCAAAGAAAAGAAATGAGAAGTTACCCCTCCCTTTTTTTTTCAGTGTTGGGGGAGGTGGCCTATGGGTGTGGAACACTGCATATAATGTCAAATTTTTTAATGTGTTAAGGTAGTTGTACTGGGGGGTGGGGAGTGCAGTTTCCATGTTTTTTTATTCTTTGTTACAAGGAATGGCTCTCTGGGCAGAGAAGTGAGAGATGTATTGGAAAATGAAAGTGATGTGAAAACAAGAAATTAATAAAATATATTTATAAAATGCGTTTATTGGTTTAAAAATAAGAGATACCAATAAAAAGTTATTAAAAAGAAATGTGAGTTTGTTGTTGCCATACCCATCTTTACTTTGCTCTACCAGTTTGTTGGCCAGAGTCAAAGTGCCCAACAATTTCTCCCATACTTCGCTCTCAGAGAAGGAAGAAGGACATGAATATTCCAAGGCTCCCTGTCTCCAGGGACCTCTTTAGGCCAGCTTATTTCTAAGTATACGCTTCTTGAGGCTCCTGACCCAGGAAGGGACCTAGTTCCTCAAGACATTGGAGCTGCTCAGCCCACCTGAGTTCCAGGTTCACTCAGGATAGCCCTACCTGTGGATGTCAAGCTAGGGATTTACAGGGTCGCCTGAGGCTCCTTTGTAATCGTTGTCCACTGAATCCTCTTATTTCTTAAGACCCAGAGTTCAATTCAATTAATTCGACAAGCTTCTATTAAGGACCTTCTCCATGCCTGGCACTCGGCTGAGGACAAGAGATAAAAGTACAAAAAAAAACCCCTATCTGTGCTCAAAAAGCTCAAATTTTACAAGAAAACAATACATGCACAGAGAAGCAAAAGAAATACATATAAAGAAAATACAAAGTAATCCAGAGGGAGGGGAATACTAACCACTGGAGAGACAAGAAAAGCCTCCTGCAGGAAACAATACCGCCTGAGCTGTGCTTTGAAGAAAGCTAAGGATTCTATGAGGAAGGTAATCATTTTAACATGTATGAGAGGACCGATAAGTGATGAGTCTGGAAGCAAAGGTTGGAGCAAGTTATTAAGAGCAGGCAGCAGTTTGTATTTTATCCCAGAGGCAACAGAAAGTTGTTGAAACTTCTTGGGCAAAGGAGTAATGTGGTTAGACTCACACTTTAGGGCTATTTTTTCAGCAGCTGTGCAGAGGTCAGAGAGACCAGAAGCAAGAAGATCAATTAGAAGACTATTGCAATAGTCCAGAGGGCCTGAAATAGGGCAGTGGTGATAGAATGGCGAGAAGGGGATGGATATGGAGACATCCCAGAAATACAATCAACAAGACTTGGCAATAAGTTCGATATGAGGAGATGAGAAAAAGGAAAGAGTGGAAAAAAGATTGCATGACTTTAGCTCTAGAGGAGACCTTAGAGAATTCCCAGCCCACCCTCATCTTGTAGATGAGGAAACTAAGGCACAGAGAGAGGAATGGACTTACTTGCCAAAGGTCACATAAGTAGTAAGTAGCAGAGTCAGGATTCAAACTTGGATCTTCATCCTCCAAATATGTCCCATTTCCTACTGCATCGTGCTGCCTTATCTGCCTTTATCTTTCCCATAGAACAGCTCGCCCAGATTATATAATGGACACTTTCCAGACTCAAATCCTACCACAGACATTATTAGTTGTGTGACCTTCGGAAAATTCTTCAGTTTTGTTTGCCTCAGTTTCCTCAGATACTGGGGATAATATGGGGTTAATAATACCTGCCTTGGAGAACTGTTGTAAGGCTCAAATGAGAGAACATATTGGGAATGATCTGTAAATCTTAAAGCTCATTGTAAATGTAATCTATTATTATTATGGCTTTGGAGTTCCTAAGACTGTTTTCTGGGAGGGGTCAGGCTACGTATCCTTCTTAGTGGATGGACACATTCAAGAAATCTGAAGTCAAAGAACTCTGACAGGCCCAGTGGCCACTATGAATAGAGTACTGGACTTGCAGTCAGTAAAACCTGGCTTCAAATTCAGCCTGCCACTTGCTCGCTGTGTGACCCTGAAGAAGTCACTTAATCTCTGTTTGCCTGACTTTCCTCATCTGTCAAATGAGGTGACGGGTTTCTATGGACTCTAAGGTTGCTTCTAGCTCTAAATCTATGATTCCTTGACTCTGGGTTTAAATCCAAATTTGAATACTCTTTTGTTGTTGTTCAGTCATGTCCAGCTCTTCATGATGCCCTTTGGGGTTTTCTTGGGTGTTGTTTGCCATTTCCTTGTCCAGCTCATTTTACAAATGAGGCAAACAGGGTTAAGCGACTTGCCCAGGGTCACATAGCTAGTAAGGGTCTGAGGCTGGATTTGAACTCCAATCTTCCTGACTTCACTCCTGGCACTCTATCCCCTGTGCCACCTCTGGGAATAAGGAACAGGGCAGATCTAATCAGGTCAACAAGCATTTTATTAAGTGCCTACTGTGTACTAATCTATTTCATTACCTAGTGGGGCTGCGGACAGGAGCAGCCCTTCTATCCCAAGTGAGAAGGGAGGGGAGACCTCCTTGGAGCAGAGTTTCAAAAGTAATGGAGACAAAAAGACTAGCTAGGACAATTACAGAGATGTTATAGGGTACTCCCAACCAAAATCCCACCTCCCACAGGATGCCTTACCCAACCTTTCTTCATTCCAGTGCCTTGCCTCTGTTAATTATTTCCTGTTTATCCTGCATATAGCTTGCCTCGTACATATGTGTTTGTCTGTTGTCTCTCCTGTTAGACTGTAAGCTTCACAAGGGCAAGGACTATCTTTTGCTTCTTTTTGTATTCCCAGTGCTTAGCACTGTGCCTAGCACATAGTAGGTGCTCAATAAATAATTATTCACTGATTCATTCAGCTGAATGCCAATTCTCTACAACTTAGGATCATGGATGATAGATTAAGGGAGCCCACAGCGGGCATCTAGTCCTTCATTTTACAGAAAAGGAAACAGAGGTTCAAAAAGAAATGATTTGCACACAGTAAATGGGAAGCTTGACTCTCCGGCTCCACATTGCCTCTTCCTCTCTGGTACCTGGCACCAACCTCCCCAAGCTGCCCCAACACTGCCTCGTGGCGATTAAGATCTAGCTTGATTACACCATGTGATATCGAGATAGGGGCACCCAGGCCTGGAGAACGTGGGGCTCAGGAGTTTTTCCTCTCCCCAGTCAACTGAGCACAGGCAGGGCAAATTTCCGGCTTTGGTGTCAATAAGAGCTTTCCCGGCATCCTTTCAACTGGCCAGCTTCTTAAATTGAGTACCTTGGTTTCAGAAATCTCCGAGCACTTCAGCCACATGAATAATTCAGACCCATGGCAATCTGAGGATGAGAAGTCTTCTGTGCCGGGTCACCCAGCCCAAGTGGGGCCAGGGAGGAGAGGCCAGTCCAGGAGCTGCTTCAGCACATTACCCTACCTAACCTCTCTGCATCATGCAGAGGGGAGCCGGTAGAGTGAAGGGTCCCAAGACTATGCCAGGTGAGGATTGAGGGCATGGAAAAAGCCAGCAGGATTTGGAGTCAGATTTAGATTCTGGCCTAGATTCAGATCCCAGCTCTGCCACTGGTTACCTATGTGACCTTGGCCAAGTTATCTAGATTCCTCAGCTGTAAAATAAGGGAGTTAGACTGCATGACCTCTCAGCTCTAAGTCTATGATGCTATAAGCGATAAAATGTTAGCATTGCATAAGTCCAAAGCTCTTTCAGGGCAGCTAGGCAGTGCAGCTGGTCCTGGAGTCAGGAAGACCTAAGTTCAAATCTGGCCTCAGATGCTTACTAGCTGTGCGACTCTGGGCAAGTCACTTCACCCTGTTTACCTCAGTTTCCTCATCTGTAAAATGAGCTGGAGAAGGAAATGGCAAACCACTCCACTACCTCTGCCAAGAAAATCTCAAAATGGGGCCACAAAGAGTCACACAACTAAACAACAAAAGGGATTCTTCATTTTCTTTGCCTAGGGTCCCCTTCTCAGAATCACTCTAAATAACTGAAGGAAATGCAAAATTTTAGTTATGGGTTCATGCCAAGAAATGTGTGATTTGTTTTTTTGGCTCCCACCCCTGGGTTCCAGACCCCTGTACTAGGGGATCTCTAAGATCCCTTTCTGCTCTAACTTTATGACGCCCCCCCAGAAGCAGAGAAGGTTTAGCCTAGGATGGAGAAGGGAGGGAAACAGCTGTGCTCCAGTTTTTAACACATGGAAGGGGGATGAGTCTTGCTCTGCTTGGCCCCAGAGAGCAAGACCAGGAGCATGGGTAGTGGGGACAGGCTGAATGACCGAACACTTGTCCGTGTGTTATTGTGGGGATTTTTGCTCCAGTTCAGGTCCGGTTCCATGGTGGCCATCTCCCTCCCAGTTCTGAGATTCTGTGATTCTCTGAAAACACCTGAGAAATGGCATCCCTCTCTCTGTTCAGGAGAAACAACAGCATTCTGGATGGGGAAGAAACATACAGTCTTAATATAGACCTGAAAGGGACCTCAGATACCATCTAGTCCAACCCAATCTTTCTGCAGATGAGGAAGGGAAGCTAAGTGTTAGGATCATGATCAGCAAGGCCTTAAGAGCCCAGTGAATTCAACCCCTCTCCTTTTACAGATGAGGAAACTGAGGCTGAAAGAGGTGATGTGATTTGCCCAAACTCACCCAGGGGGTAGGTGTCAGAGCCAGGATTAGAATCCACGTCTTGGGGCAATACAGGAGCCCAAAATTCCCTTCCAGAGGCCAGAGCAGAAGGTGGGTGGGAGGCGGGAGGCTGGAGGCAGCTCAGCCTCCTTCCAAGTGTGTGGAGCTGCCCCCTCCCTACCCCCAGCCAAGGCTGAACTAGAATGGCCTTGGATTTTGAGGCTAGATTGACAAACAAAACAGCACAGGAGCCATTGTTCCCCTCTTTGAGAAAGTCTGAGGCTGCGATATTATGTTGAATATTCCTCATTTGAACAAGGAGGCCTTTTGTATTCCACACAAAGGGCCTTTTTTTTTTGTGCTGAGGACGTTGGAAACAATGATTTTCACAGCTCCATTGGCTGTGTGAGAATGAGAGTGTGGGGAGCAAGGGCCCATGGGACTGGGAGCTTCTAAATAGGGACAGGCTAGGGACAGAGAACTGGGACCCAAGCACATGTGGTGGCCTGTGCACCCCAACCACTGGGGCAACCATTGGAGCATCAGGTGGGCATCAGTGTTTATTTTCAATTTTCTTTATTGAGGTCTTTATTTTTTACACCCCAGATGGACCCACTTCCCCCCAATCCAATAAGTATTCTCCCTTCAGAAGACCACAGAATCCTACATTTGGAAGTCCAGGGGGTTCTTCACCTTTTCTGTGTCCGAGACCCCTTGGGCAGTCAGCAGGAATTGAAGTCCACAGACCCCTTCTCAGAATCATATGTGTTGCCTACATTCACAATGGAAAGAAAAGCTACATTTCAGTTAGTGTTTAGTTGAAGTGATGTCTTTTTTTTCTTTCATCCAAGTTCACGAACCCCTTGAAATCTATGAAATCTATGGTCCGTGGACCCTAGTTGGACAGCTCCTAGTACCTGAATACAAATCCCCTCTAAATATGTCTCAAAGAACTTAAATGAGTGGAAGCCACACAAAGACAATCCACAGCAGCCCCTTCCCCCCACCCTACCTCTCTACATAAAGGAGGGAGATGCACGGCATCATCTCTTGTCCAGGGCCGAGAGTGGTCATCATAATCCCTCAGAGTTAGGTTTCATGCTTGGTTCTGTTCTTTCATGATACTACAGCCATCATGCATGTCGTAAATAAATTTTTAATGACATCTTTAACAGCCACTTAGATTTCTCACTGTATCCCTCCACCACTATCCCCTCCCTGAGAGGCATCTCTTATTATAAAGAAAGAGGGGAAAATTCATCAGAATTAACCAACATATCAAGAAAGTCAGACATTGTATACATATAATATCCCATGCCCATGGTGTCTTCCATTTCTGCAAAAAAGCAAGAGGGGGCATCTTCTTGTCATTTTTTTTTGGTTTGGTTTGTGGTTTTTCAGGAGGGGAGGACCAACATTGGTCATTCTCAGTATTTTGTTGTCATTGTTCTTTCCATTTACAGCATTAGAACTCACTCTACACAGTTTTTTTCCCCTTGTTTTTGCTCTCTTCACTCCTCACCCATTCTTAGAAACCTTCTCAAGTTCCTCTGAATCCCTCAAATTTGTCATTTCTTAGGGCACCATAATATTCCATCACACATAAGCCACATTTTGTTCAGCCATTTCCCAATCAAAAGGGACCAACTTTGTTTTCGGTTCTCAGCTACCACAGAAAGGGCCACAGTTTTGGTACATTCCTGGTGTAAATGTCCAGGAGTGGGATCTTTGGGTCCAAGGACAGAAACCTTAATTGTGACTTAATCCCACATTGTTTTCTAGAAAGGATGATGAATACACCACTCCACCTGGCCATGTAGGAGGGAGGGTGCCTGTCTTTCCATAGTTCTTCCAACACTGTTGGCCATTTCTCTCTTCCATTACCTACTCTTCTGCATTACCAACTCCCACACCAATGACTCTCATTCTTGGATGCTTCAGGCAAAGCATTCAGTCCAATTCACCAGATTAGGATTTGTAGCAAAGTTTAGTTGGAGGAGGTGGTCTGGAGGGATGAAAAGAAGACAGAATTTGGAGTCATATGACCTGGATTAGAATCCTGCCTCATTTACTTATTACCTGTGTAATGAGGGTAATCAGGAGTGCTCCCCTCCCTGGAACCTAATGTTAAATTTTCAGGGTGAGCATTTGCACCTCAGACTCTAGCAAATTATGCAAATCAGGGCTTGATTTATTGTTTTGTTGATTGTCTAGGCTTAAGAAAGTGATGGAGAAAAATGTTAATAATGCTGAGCTAATAATTAAATAGACAAAATAATTAAATGCTTGAAAAGCTAATCATTAAACTTCAGAGCATGTCCTGTGCACATTTCTTGGAGACTCAGTCTTTTACCATTTACCAGCACATCTATGTCTATGAATACGCATTGCAAGGCCTTGTGCTGGAGATGCAAAACTACATATGGTACAGGTCCTGCTTTCAAGGGGTGTACAGTCTAATGAGGAGAGACAGAAAGGGTAAGTATACTAATAACTCTGATACAAGCACAAAGGAGCAATCCAGGAAAGGGCCTGTGAAAAATGTGGGAAGAGAGAGATTACTTTCGTCAAGGAATCATGGGGAAGTCAGAGAGGGCATCCTGCAGGAGGTGCCATCTGAGTTGGGCCTTGAAGGAAGCAAGAATCTTCAACAGATGGAGATGAGAGGAGTCCATTTTAGAGTTAAGGCACAAGGACAGGAGAGGGCAGGAAAAGAAAAGAAAATGGGGGTAGTAGCCCAGTTCTGCTGAAAAAGAGTACACAAAAGGGTGCAGTCCTTCTAGAGGAAGCCTTCCCCACCCCTTCACTCTTTTAATTATTTCCTATTTATCCTGTATATAACTTGCTTTGTCTATATTTGTTTGCATGTTGCCTCCTCTATTAGATTGGGAGCTCCTTGAGGGCAGGGACTATCTTTTGCCTCTTTTTGTATCCCCAGCACTTAGTACAATGCCTGGCACGTAATAGGAGTTTAATAAATGTTTATTGATTGATTGATTTTTTCTAAAGAAATAGTATGAGATGGATACACCAAATTCAGATTGTGGGGGGACTGGGTCTTGATTGTCAGGATCAGGAATCTCTACCAAAAAATCATTTGGGATTTTTTTCAAGTTTTTTAATGGTCTTGTTTTTTATGCTAGTCATTTGCTCACATATATATATTCAGGCTCACAGCTCTATAAAATGCAAACAATATATATGACATTTCACACACACAGCCCTTCGCCTCTTAACTGAGCAAATAAAGCGTGTTACATCATCTGTTCTCCAGAATTAGTCACTTCGATTCATTTGAGTTCTTATGATTTTTAGTGTTATTTTCATTGACATTGTTATCATTGCCTGGGTTTTGTTGACTTCATTCTGAATCAGTCCATACAAGTCTGATACTGAAGATTCTTGTGCGAGCCTGATTTAAATGATCGGAGGAGTGGTTTAAGATTGGGGGAAAAAATAGTCAGAAAGCCAAAAGACTATTCATTTATTCAACCAATATTCATGAAGCACTTTGCATAACACACTGAAAGGCAGAGTAGTAACTAGCACTTGGCAAATGGGGCTTTGCCCCTGGATGCTGACATTCAGCAAGGTGTGCTTTCCTCCCACAGTGATTCACCATTCCAGTGCCCAGCTGGCCCATGCAGCTGGGCTTAGGTTACCATGCCTTCCCTCCAAAATGGCACTGATGGGGTTTAGGGGTTTAGGGGTCCTGGGACCCCAAAATCACATCATGTGGTTCCTGTCTGAAAGAATTCAACCCAAGCCTTCTTTCAGCCAAAGACAAGGTTTATTAGATCCTCCGTCATATTGGGCAGACTCTTAAGGAGTCTGAACAAGAGTAAGCCACGGCTAGATTATAAGAATCCCAGCAGTGGCTAGATTTTAGGAATCTGAGCCATGGCTAAATTATAAGAATCCCGGCAGTGGCTAGATTTTAGGAATCTGAGCCAAGGCTAGATTATAAGAATCCGAGCATCTTAATGGAGATGAGATGGACCTTATACACAGAAAGACTATGAGAGAGGTCTAGGAGTGGTCAAGTAGTCTATGAGGTAATAGAACTTCAGGGGTGACCAAGGGAGAATGGAGCCTAGATAGGATTAAGGGAGGGAAGGGGGGGTGGGGTGCCATGGAGAGGTAAGACAATGGAGGGCCAGGCTAGGTTAAGGGTAACAGAGATTGGGCATAGCCACAATGAAAGGCCAGTTGATGGGATTATAGCCTCAGGCGAACCCAAAGATTTAGCCATGTGGGAAAGTCCAGAGTTTTTCCTTTTTGGGGTCTAGATCCCATCCTCATAAGCATAACTATACATGTGTCTACCCTAGGCATAGGGGCTACTGCCACTTTCTCTCCCACTGTCAAATGGCTGTCCCCATCAATTTTGGCATGATTGAAAATATGTCAATATTCTGTCTTTGATTGTGGGTCCTGAAAGAGGATCCACAACAAAGGAGTCTGCCCTCAAAAAACTTAGAATTTAGTAGGAGTGAGGTTAAGACTTATACAGAGATAAATATAATATAAATTCATGGATGGTAAGAGTGTAGATTTAAAACCGGAAGGATCGAAGAACACCTAATTGTACTTTACACATGAGGAAACTGAGGCCATGAGAGGTTAAGTTGTTTGCCAAAGGTCACACAGGTAGTGAGTTATCAGAGCTGGAAACTGAACCTAGGTCCTCTGATTCAGAATTCAGAGGTCACCATACCATGTTGTCTGCCCAAGGATAACAAGAGGAGAGAAGGCCGACAAACAGTAGACTTGATGTTCTTTGCAGGGAGTCCATCAAAGAGGTCCAGTCAGGGGTTCTTGAATGTTCAGTAACCTGAAGACAACCCCAGAGATTTCCATTCATCCTGCTTTCCTCCTTTCTGTCCATAGTCAGAATAAGATGCTTATGGAGCCAGACCATGCCTCCCCTTCTATCACTGGAAGGACTGAAGATGTGTGTGTACCATGTTGTCTTTCCTTCTGGCCCCTTCTGGAGAGTGCACATTTTAGCTCCTGGCCTGCCTTGGTGGGATCATCAGATGGGAATGAGTGCTTCTGTCATTCCCTAGGCCCTTGCTTCATTGTTTAGCTAGTCA